CGAGCATACACCAGTTGGTGTAGTGGAAGGGAGATTGATCTAGCCATCCTTCTATCGGCCAGGTAGCAGACTTCTTTGTCCACTTGTTTGACGAAGTGGATCTGTCCTACTCAGCAAACGTTGGCTACAGGTGAGCCTTGTCCCTCGCCATAGAAAGCTCTTTGGGGTCAAGTCTAGCCGATTGTCCCATTATTACGAGACTGTTTACTGCTTTCCATAATCAGAGGCCAAGGGCCCGTTCAAGGGAACCGCCCATGTGGGACCTGTCGGTTGTTTTATCAGCCGTAAGCAGACCTCCCTTTGAGCCCCTCGTTTCAGCACCACTCAAGTTTTTGACGTGGAAAACAGTCTTCCTACTGGCCCTCGCCTCAGGTAGGTGCTGGTCAGAGCTAGACGCACTGTCCTTCACGGACGGTTGTGCCGCCTTTATGGACGATCAAGTTGTACTGAAGACACGAATCATGTTTCTCGCCAAGAACCAAATCCCAGGACACGATTTTCTTCCGATTGTCATCCCCTGGCTGTCAAATATTGTCGGTCCGGAGGATCAGGAGGAATTGCTTCTCTGCCCGGTCCGAGCACTGAGTTGCTACGAGAACCGTACCAGGTTTTCCAGACGGGGAACCAAACACATGTTTTTGTGTTACGGCCCTGGCAAACAGGATAAGCCGGCTTCCCCGACTTCCATCTCCAGGTGGATTACTGCAACTGTACTGGAGGTCTATAATACACTATCCTCCTCAACACAGTCCTTGCAGAGACACCAAGTACGAGCGCATGAGGTTCATGCGATTGCTAACTCACTAGCGCTGGCGTCAGGCGCCCCCCTCGAACATATTCTGAGGGCAGGCTTCTGGAGAACGCAGACCGTCTTCATCAACTACTACCTAAGAGACACTCAATCTATTGAGCAGGGTCTCTTCAGGTTAGGCCCTGTCGCAGCGGGACAGGTTTTGTTTACTGACCCAGCCCGAAGCATTGGCTTCTTGCTTCGGGGACAGCACAGACAAGGTAAGACACC